CCCGGAGCAAGGCATATAAGTCTCTTACACGATGCCTTGTAATTAAGCATGAAGTTTTGTGTTCTGCTATTGCATTTATTAAAACACAGTTGATAGTTCTGTTTTCTTTATATAATTCTCAGAATTAATGAGAGATTTTTTCAGCTTTCCCGTTTAATCTCATCTTCATTTTCCAATTTTCCGTTTGCCGAAAACGTGAATTTAAGGCGCTGTTAGCACTAGTCAAAATTTTGTTTGTCGTGCGAACGATGTTTTACACCAACCAAAGTTTTATCAAGTTTTACCAAACATCAAACTTTAGACGCCACCGAGAGAGGTAGTAGGACATGTTCGAGTTTGGATTCGAGTTCAAGTTCGAGTTCGAGTTTGGAGGCCTAAAATTTTTTTAGTCGACCAGGCGACAAAATTTTTTGTTCCTTGACAGATATCCGTCGTCGGGTGACATCCTGTTTTGCGAACATGATCGATTAAAGTTCCTTCCAAACGAAGAATAGAGATTACAAGGCGTGCAAACGCCGAACTCTATTTTTCGTCGAAGTGCAAATTTCTAGTATGAGACGTTCGTAACGTGAGAAGTGCAGGACTTGGTCGGAAATGGCAAATTAACGTGACTCTGTAAACTGGTGCCAGCCGGGTTTTCATGTGTTGGGAGAAAATCACAGACAATCGGCTATTCGACAGTTAGCTGCCGTTTAATTTCCCATCCACGAAATACTTAAGACTGTTCCAGGCATCACTTCAATTTATAACAGGAGAAACGATCGAGAGTCAAACAATTAGGAGACACCGACCTAAAATCTCAGACTGATCGGCCATCACAACAATCTGGGCCTCGTCGTTAAAATACCGTAAAACATCACTTATCTGCTTATTTTCTAAATGTATCTTTGAACAGTTGCATTTCACACGATCGGGGAGGTATGACAATTAGCGGTTTTAGTATCGGGCCAAATCGCATCATCTTTATCTGTTAGTCGTTCACTTAATTACCTCCATAATTAATGCGAATCAGAAAACATGTGATACCAGAACAAAGTGTTAGTGATCATTTAACTGTCGGCTGAACTTACCATCATTTTCAAAGCGGAATACGTTAAACAGCTGTTCGACTGGTACCAGTCTTGTCTTCCTTGTTCTTAATAAAGGGTTTCATTTATGTACGATTTTTAAATATTTTCTTTTAAATTCCCTACCATTTTCGGAAGTTATTAAAACTGTCACATTTCACTCCCCATACTTAGTTATCATTCAATGCATACAAAAAGGAAATCTGAAATTTTCGGATATAAGGATGTGACGAAGAGAGGAATCAGAAAAATTCTAAAACCATCGAAAAATAATACTGACGCCGTTGTAAGTTTCCCTTGGATGACTAAACAGATACAAATTTCATGGTGCCGCTTAGAGTGCATTTCCGAGATAGGTCGAGAAGTACTCTAGATATCCCAAAAAGGGAATTCAATGTATTTAGGGCAATTAACCGTCTTTGGATGCCCCTTGGGTCGTTAAAGTGGTTTAAACACTAAAAGTGTACAAATACATCAATTCCTAATCCGAGATGTGTAGGAGACCAATAACCTAATCCAACTTAAAGTCGTTGGCCTTTAACCTTTTTACGTCTCAGTGCTTGACAAAGATTTTTTGAATCGAGTAGCTTAGATGCTTTAGCAATACCGGGCCAATATTAATGGATTTCACTAAGTCGCAAAGAGGGACCTGTTTATATTTTTCAAGGAGATCCAGGTACAGTCACCATCGTGTTAGGGTTACCTCAGATCTCCCATATTTTTCATTTTTTTCAGAGGACGTGTTTAAGAAGCAAGTAGGCGGGGTAACACTGGGGTTTAAGTAACCGTAGCTGGGGGCATGGGCCACCTGCCTTGTAAACGCTTTGTTAGTGAAGCTCACTCATCCAGGACAACATTGCTCCGTCTTGCCGGAACAGAAGCATTACTGTAGACTTAAGAATTTAAATGAAGTTCATTTTTTGGGCGACGTTCACACAACTGGACAATATGAGTTTGTTTTTTAACAGTTTATTCAAGACTTTAAGCTATTTTTACAGACATGTTCAAGAGTTCGTTACTATTTCATTGTTAAAAATTTGAAAAATTTTTAGCCCAAGCACTCATAAAAATTTACGTAAAGGTTACCTTACTCCCTTGTAAACAGGCCCAAAATCACTCTTCATCGATACACACTGTTAAATAGGAAGGTGGAAACCAAATACAAAAGCAAAATGGTTTGGAGGATGTTGTTAGTAACTATGCAATTTTTACAGGATTTTTCGTTATTGCATCGGCAGTCTTTTTTCGAAATGGCCAAAGCATATAAGGGAAATAGGTTCTACTCTTCCGTGAAAATGGTCATGAATTATTACACAGGCATGCAATTACAAAATCTTTAATGGATTTCACTAATGTTAAAATGAATTAGTTAGATGGTTTCTTAGTAAGATAAATTTTTGTCACTTAGAAACGATAAATAATAAATAAGCTGTTTGGCTTAAAAGTTTTTCCAACACTGAACAAAATAATTCATTCGGAGATATTCAGCTACCGAAGGCGGAACGACGATAGGACTTCGATCAGTTTTGAAGAGGGTAAGTTTTAACCCATTCTACACTGTGCACTTTTGCAACCACTTTTTAAATTTTTATATTTGGTGGTTATAGAAATATAATGAAACTAATACTTTTCTCTTATAATTTATCTTCTATTTTCTCTTACAAAAAAAAAGATCGGTTAAACTGTGATCTTTTACGTTATCAGAAGGTCTCCGCAGATACTACGACTTTAAATCAAATTGAAGCTTATAGAAGTAATCAACTTCACTACTTTGACTTGTTCTTGTATTTCCGCAGTCAATTTGCTTTTTAAAATACTTTCCGGAGTTTTGCCATTTTCAATTCTGGTGAACAGTTCAAAAGAAGTATTTCGAATCAAAATAAGTCCTTGAAAAGTGAGGCGATCTTGCTGGAATGCCTTTCAACAGCAAAAAAATATTTTCGACAACTCACACATATATTTCGACCAGGGGCCTGTTTCTCGAAAGTCCCGGAAACTTTTCGGGCCCGAAATCAAAGTTCAAATCTAAATATAAAGAATAAGGGTGCGGATCCTTAAGCTAGCAAACTACTCCATTTTTTTTTCATTAATTGGTAGTTTTATCATGTTAGATGCAAAACTATTGAAACCTCTATCTTGCATGTAAACAACAACAGCTCTACGGGCCTGTTAACTGTATCGGAGCTTTCGAGAAACCAGCCCCAGGAATGCTAAACAATATGTCAATCTGAAGCATCCCGTTACCCAATAACTAGTTTCCAAAGTATGCACCCCGGAGCTAAACCAATATGCTTTTTCCACATAAAATGTGTCTTTGGCCTTCAAACCTTCCTTCATTAATCTTTGCCAGGAGCAATTCTTGTTATCTTAGTAGAAAAGACGAATGTGACTCGTCTAAGGGCGTCTTCAATTGCCCGTATTCCGGAATACTAAATACATTAAATAAAATCTGCAAATTAGTTGCTTTGGTATTTATTGTTTTTCATTTTTTGCGGATTAAAAAATTTCCACCTCCACACGTAGCGTATCATGCAATTTGCCCGTCCACACGTATCCGGATTCACCCTCAGTTCGTCAGCTAATTTGTGGCGCGGAAGCGATCTTCGGCTCATGCGAAAATTTTCTCGCCAATCTTCTTTAATAACTGATTCGCTGATTGTACCGGCAAGCACTAGTTCGCTGTCTAACCTGCCTTGTTTACGGCGTAAAATTCGTTAGTCCGATATGAAAGGAATCCCCAGAATGTCAAGCCGCGGTTTAGCATAATTGAAAAGTACAGTACTCATAGCTAGGTTTTCAAAACTGCACACCTGTTGTAAGAGTTGAAACTGAAGTCCAAAAAGAATGATCTTGAATATTCACGGTAAAGATCTGGGGTATATCTTGTTACGTCACTCTGGATAAAAAAAGTATTCGGATTTAACGTCCACACGATTCCGGATTCGGCATGGCCTATAGCGGCTTCCGATTTTGCTAATGTAGAAGATCTTGAGAACACTCTCTCCCGAGAGGTCTACAACGTCGATGAGTGGGCAACAAACAACAAACTTCCACTTAATTGTTCCAAAACTTAAAGACCATTCTAATTGATGGTCAACGCCTGGGAAAGCGTTTAAACAACGAAGATCGCAAGCTTGAGATACAGCTCAAAGGATGTAATTTAGAACAGGCCACTAACGTTAAACTGTTGGGCCTTGATATTGATGGACAACTTAGTTTTGATGTTCATATTGACTGTTTATCTAACAAGATATCAAAGCGTATTAGCATACTTAGTAGAGTTAAGGCTTACTTACTAAGAACAGAGTGTATACTTTATTCTAATTCTTTTATCAAGCCTTTAATATTATATTGTAGCGTAACTCAGACAAGCTGTTGCAGCCAAGATAATAGTGATAAGATTTTCAAGCTGCAAAAACGCTGTGCACGCATTTTTCTGGACGCCCAAAAACACCATAGTAGCGTAGACCTGTTTAATACCTTAGGATGGATGCTATATTACTTTGAGTCTGATGTTAAAAGATGCTTGATAGCTTACAAAAGAATTAGTGGTGCTTGCCCTGATTATATGAATGATCTATTAACAGCAGCCAGTATAGTAGAAATACACGAGGCGCCAATATTAACATATTGCCTAGAATCGCATAATTGAGTAAAATCTCGTATTCTGATTGGTTAACGAAGCGAGGTATTTAGCGTGAAATTGTGAGTTGAAAACGAGGCTATTTATATTGTTTCGCATCTACGTGACAACTATCGTCAAATAATCTAACACAACAACTGCAAAAATGGTTTTCTGCAATGTCATTTTAAAATGTTTTCAAAACCATTGTCACCTTTTGAAGAGCCAAAAACAAAAACAAGCGTTTTTTAAAGTGAGCGGGAGGTTCTTCCTTGTTTTGAACTGAACTACAAATTCTTGGAGAGGCATAAAAACCTCTTTCGCTAGCGACAACGAGAAAGCAAGAAAATCCTGTGAACACAGCCCAGAAAATGGCAAGCAAAAGTTCAACCAAACCAGACGGAGAAGCTACAACGGAGGAAGTGCCAGGGTCGATTAAGACATATACAGAAGAAGAAATAAATACCTTCAAAGACAACATGGCCTCTGAAAACACGAAAAAGAGTGCGCCGCTTGCAATCGTGGTATTAGAAAAGAACAAAACAGAGCTGAAATTGAACAGCATTTCTAAAACATTTTAAGGTACTTACCTTATATTAATCGCGATGTTAAACTTTTAGTGCTTTCGCTTGGACACTTCATTTCTTTCAGTTTTGCCACCGACGAGGTAAAAGGTGTAAATTATTTTCCTTCTCGAGCAAATGATTTGGAAATTAAAAAAAAAAAGACCCTAGATAAACGATCTTACTCCTTTTCTAGATAATAATTTTTAGATTTTGTACTATGTACTTATCTCTTAGTTTAGATTTTACATCTTGTAATCTCTTATACATATGAAACTCAAGGGGTACAAATAGTCTTTAATTGAATTTTGCGACCACGCCCCTTTCGGCGTCTCACTAAAATCGAGTGCCATTTTCGGATGTTTTGTCGTCGTGCTGATTCTGTACACTAAACGTACTCAATGTACCACTGAAATATTTAACTATGATATAAGGGCTTTCCATTTTGTAAAGTAAAGTTTTCCCCTCGTCATTTTTCAATTTTTCCCGAGCGGTTCGATCAAAATTAACAAGGCGTTTGTGATCAAAACACGACCGAGTGAGGGATCTTGGGCGATGACTCTTTTACGCGAGCGCAAATTGAAAATGTACCGCCAAAATCAAAGAGAGGAACAAATTTCCCTTGTTTTGATATAGTCAGGTCTGTTAAGGCCAGGATCGGTACAGAGTTGACAAAAGCACCAAACTTTGCACAGCAATAGCTTATTGCAGAACCATGAATATTAGAGGGGGTGCCCAATGCAAATATGCCACTAAAGCGTGCTAAACAGGATTTAATTATTGTAAATTTCACCTGCTGGGGTTCCTGTGGTGTTTTGATTGAAAAATTGTTATTTAATACCTTAAATCACTGAGAATGCTCTTCTCATGTTGTAAACAACAATTTCACTCGAACATCTGGCATTCCCATCCATTATTAGCTTATTGATTGTATAATTAAGTTGATTATTACTGTGCCCTTAAAGCAAGTCCACAGTCCGCCCACATTTTCATAAGTCCTTTCTAAGTTGGCCTCGTCTTTGCTTCATAACATGCAAGTACTCAGCTTCTGGGGTTCTCTTCCCTTTTCTAATGTATTTCACTTAGAGGAGGCCTTATTGTGTGGCTTAAGCCTTATTCATCAAGTATTACTTGTCACTACATGTTACTTTAAGCTAAAGAAAGCGGCGTATGGCATAGCGATTCACACACAAAATTTCAGAAAAAAGAAATTGTCAAAGAGTCTGTTTCACATATTATCAGGGATTTATGACAGCTGTTCATGAAGAGCAAATAACGAAATGAAAGAACCCAAAATAGTTCTTTCCTAAGGAGGTAATTAATTTTTCAGCTTAACATAGGCCTGGATGCCTTTCAGTCTCTCTTTATCTGCTGGACGCACGTGCATGTTTTGACAGAGAAGCAAGCATCGTGGCACAAGTCATATCATTTACTCTCCCGCAGTTACAAAGCAAAAACAAACAAAAAGAATCTGGTCTCATAAACGAAAAAAAGAAACAAGTTAGCCCAAGCTTCAAAAAACAGCACAGTTTATCATGAAGCCTATACATTTGGCACTGAAGCACTCATGTCCAAAAATAATAACAGCTTATCAAGTCGTAAAAGTGAGACTCAAGTGGTACAAGATTGACTCAAATGATAAATGGTGAATGCTTTAACGGCTGCAACTGTAGAAAGGGGGCCGGGCTAACTTTTAGGGCCTGTTTGGATGGTAACCCACTTAGGTGGGGTAACCCGCCTGTCCATATAATCTCTCATTTTAATTTGATCACGTTTACATGATAGGTGGGGTGACCCTTCAAGGTGGGTAACCCGGTCTGCCACACCGGGTAACCGTCTCAGCTGAGGTCAAATTTTGCCATGTCAACGTTTCAAGGTGAGGTAACCCAGGCTAGTCGGGGTCGGATTCTTGATACATCAAATTCGCGCAAAATTCACTTTGGCGCCGGGTGGCTTCACATAATTATTAATAATAACAATAGAAAGCCAAAAAAACACTGAAGGTTGATGCAAGAGCAGCAAGTGAGCGTAGACGTGGTTTGCCAGTATTTTTCTTGTTTACGTGCTTAGCGACTATTCAATAATCTTGAGAAAGTGCAAAAGTGCACCCCAGGATGGCGGGGTTGTAAGATTGCAAGTAAAGGAGGGTTATTTTTTACTCCACCTAGGCAGGTTACCACACCTACCTGGGGTCCCCCACGTTTATGTTAACAGGTTCACAGGAACAGTGAAACTGGTAATAAACGGTATACCTAACCCAGGACTAGCTGTGATACTACTTCCATCTTCAAAAACGTCAGCATAGCAGCCAAAGGAGCAATTATATCGGTGTAACACGAATATTAGATTGCGGTTGTTTCATGCGTCTCGTTTTGTGACTTTTTTTGTGTTTGTTTTCGTCACCATCTCTAAATTGTAATCATGTTCAAAACACCCCTACTAACAAAATATTTCGTAAAGCTCTTTACAATGATATTCATCAATAAAAACAAGGTGTGACCAGGAGCCGATTTCTAGGCTCCTGATGTGGCAACATAGGCATAAGTGGGTGCAAAGAAATCTGTTTGAGTGGTCAAAGTTGGGGCTGATGGGCTTCTTTATCATGACCACTCCATTATTATAAGGAACCAGGCCATAATTATTGTTGACCCTATCTTTTTTTTGGTATTTTCTGTAATTTTCCAGGGGCACCCAACGTCAATTTTCGGAAAATATCTGTTCGGAAGACGATTTGAGATCTAGAATTTTCGGAACATTTGTTGTAAAATTTCTTGCTTGCCTGCGTCTCCTAAGATTTTCGATCATCCAAAAAATGGTATAATTGCCCATTTTTAACGGATTTTTGCCCTAAAGAGTTCACCTAGAATTTTCGGGAGCCTTTTTTCTGGCTGAAATTTTCGAAAAGGTAAGTTTTGATCCTTATAATTTTCGGATCACTACACTTTCAGCTAGGAAATCCGAACAGATGAAAATTTTTAGGGGACAAAGATAAGCCTATATCTACAGTTTAAATACTAAAATACGTTTAACAATGCTATGCTTATAAGTGGTTTTGAACTATGTTCTCGTTGGGTGCCCCTGATTTTCCACAGCATTATTTTGTGAAAAGTTGGTAACTGAATTGCTCTTGAGGAATTCATGATCGTAAGATTTCGTGACCGCGGGGTATTCGCCTAATTGCAATAAACAAATTACATTCATTTTCATAAATGATGCACCATTAGTTGGCTAAAAGAGGCCTTGTTCCTGTAACTTTCAGCTCTTCTGAAGTTAGTTTGTTTGTGAATTGTAACGCACGCGACGACCTTCCTTTTTTTTGAAAGATCGTATAGACCTACCATAAACATTCTGGTGCGAGGGCTGTTAGGTGAATGAACTCCTTACAGGTGTCCAGGCATGCAGGAACCTCATACACTTCTTTTTAAATGCAAATGTGTAAAAAATAGAGTGTGTTAAAAATTCCTGAAGAGGCATGTTTTACAACCTCGTCCTCAGGGCTTAATAAAAAGGTAGAAAAAGGTGAAGCGACCATTACGTCAATAACTCGTGACAGTAATAATAACTGATAAGCTTGAGGTCGACGGTGCGCTCCTTTTACCCCCCTCTCTCCATTAATGTTCCGTTGTAAGGGTATTTAAAGCTAGTCAAAGCTACACAGAAAGGAGAGAAGTTAAAATAAGGACGTGTTGACANAGGGGCACCCAACGTCAATTTTCGGAAAATATCTGTTCGGAAGACGATTTGAGATCTAGAATTTTCGGAACATTTGTTGTAAAATTTCTTGCTTGCCTGCGTCTCCTAAGATTTTCGATCATCCAAAAAATGGTATAATTGCCCATTTTTAACGGATTTTTGCCCTAAAGAGTTCACCTAGAATTTTCGGGAGCCTTTTTTCTGGCTGAAATTTTCGAAAAGGTAAGTTTTGATCCTTATAATTTTCGGATCACTACACTTTCAGCTAGGAAATCCGAACAGATGAAAATTTTTAGGGGACAAAGATAAGCCTATATCTACAGTTTAAATACTAAAATACGTTTAACAATGCTATGCTTATAAGTGGTTTTGAACTATGTTCTCGTTGGGTGCCCCTGATTTTCCACAGCATTATTTTGTGAAAAGTTGGTAACTGAATTGCTCTTGAGGAATTCATGATCGTAAGATTTCGTGACCGCGGGGTATTCGCCTAATTGCAATAAACAAATTACATTCATTTTCATAAATGATGCACCATTAGTTGGCTAAAAGAGGCCTTGTTCCTGTAACTTTCAGCTCTTCTGAAGTTAGTTTGTTTGTGAATTGTAACGCACGCGACGACCTTCCTTTTTTTTGAAAGATCGTATAGACCTACCATAAACATTCTGGTGCGAGGGCTGTTAGGTGAATGAACTCCTTACAGGTGTCCAGGCATGCAGGAACCTCATACACTTCTTTTTAAATGCAAATGTGTAAAAAATAGAGTGTGTTAAAAATTCCTGAAGAGGCATGTTTTACAACCTCGTCCTCAGGGCTTAATAAAAAGGTAGAAAAAGGTGAAGCGACCATTACGTCAATAACTCGTGACAGTAATAATAACTGATAAGCTTGAGGTCGACGGTGCGCTCCTTTTACCCCCCTCTCTCCATTAATGTTCCGTTGTAAGGGTATTTAAAGCTAGTCAAAGCTACACAGAAAGGAGAGAAGTTAAAATAAGGACGTGTTGACACCAGGGATCGAACTCGGGACCTCGCGCACCGAAGGCTGCGCACTAACCAACTGTGCTACCCTTGCTCCTCCTTTTCCCCCTGAGGACGAGGTTGACATGTTTTAATCATTATCTCAAGGACAGGGTTACCAACGAAGCAAATTAT